CTTGCCGACACAACTTTTGAATGAACTCACTTGGCGTTCAACCCTCATTACGGCGCGTAGGTGAACGTTGAAGGATCTCAAATTACAATTTGCATTTATTTCATTTTTATTTTGCCTGTTTCCTTCCTTTCACCAGTCAAATGCCAACTGCGAGCAACTCAAATGAAAAACGAAAAACATGCAATCGTTGCATTAGTGTAAGCACAGTGCGCACCACAGCTTGAATGGCAGACAGATAGCGAAAACTGAAGAAAAAAACGTAAATACATTTGTGACCACCCACAACTGCAGTGGAGGGAATTGGTTATAAGATAGGATGTACTTGCCTGCCAGATAAATGTCAGAAATGAAAACGGAGCACGCGGAGTGCAAAAAAAAAAATAGAAGGCAGCACACAAAGGATGAAATGAAAATGAACGCTGAATAAAATAATTTCAAATTAGAGTGAAATTGAGAAGTGCGAGGAAAGAAAATGTAAATCAAAGGATACGTTAGCGCTTAATTCAAATCAATACTTATCAAACCAAACCGTAGTCCTATGCATTGCATGTGGTTGTGTGTGTTTGCGACAAATTAGGGAGGAAGAAGTGAATTAGAGCCTCTTTATTAGTAAATACTTAAAGAGATTTCGCACATTTAACAGCTGTTGGCAATAAATTCCGAATTTTTTGTTACGTCCTTTATAAATTTTTTTGTATTAAGAAAGTTGTACCTTACACATTATTTCATAGTATGTATTTATGCATCAGCGCGCCTGAAAGTATGCTCACTCGCTTGAGTGACAAACCAACATGGATGTAAATTAGGGTGGTTCAAACAAAATATAGTCGGAATTTTAATGCTCTCTGACCCCAGAATGGTTCTACATCGAACAAAATATACAAAATATATGTTTTAAAAAATATTTACAGCTCGCGCCAAGCGCTCAAAGTTTCCCATGTAAATATTTTATATGGCAAAAAAAAAACAATTTTTCGTAGATGTGATAATCCTCGCAAATAAATATTTTCAATTTGGAAACCTTTCAATTTGGAAGACTTCAAAGAATATTATTCAATTGTTTATTTGTCATTCTTTGGTATTAACTACTTTTCATTGGTCCCCCAAAAAATTGCAATGGGTGACTCATACAAAATATTAGTATTAAAAAATGGTTAAATAAACACTTGGGTGTTATTTTTTGAACTCTCCTGAAAAGAAAAACAGTGCATTTCAATCGAAAAATATTGAGTTGCAAGGCTTTTATACCATATCTACGAAAAATTATTTATTTCCCCATGTAAAATACATGGAAAGCTTTGAGTGCTTTGAACGACCTCTAAACATTTTTACTAAAAAACAATACTACGGGTGAGACCTTACTTTTTGCGCAAGCATTTTCAGACCACCATAATGTACACATTCTCTTTTGCATACACAGTACATGCGAAAAGTATTTGCACAAATATTTGAATTATTGCAATTGACGGTAATTTATGCGAAATATTTTATGGCTTCGTAGCACAAGGTCTTCAATAAAGTGCTTTAGACATATTGTTGGTATTCGGCTAAGGTGACGAGAATTATTTAGGGCAGACATTCTATTTTCAGTTTAGAATAAGTATGGTTGTAGTAAAAAAAATTCGGTGATAAAATATGCGCTAAATATTTGAAACGCAATAAAATTTTTGCACATTATTGAAAGAGTGGAGCCTGTAGAAACATGTTTTATTTTGTATATTAAATAAAAAAATTAAGTACACTGCGGTGTTTTTTTTAGTTATGGAATATTTTAAGGCCTTAATATTGATCAGTTGTAGGTAACACAACAATATTTATTTTACTGTAAGTCAAAGCTCTGATTGGGCAAATATTTAGGGCTTGAAGTCTTTCAATTTGAATTAAAAAAATGTAAACCGCTCCTAGGTACTAGTTTTGAACTGGGACTAAAGAAAATATGAATTTTATAATGAAAAGCAAAGAATTGGGGAATTCCTTTCGTCCCTTCAATGTAGCCTAAATAGTAGTAAACTATCAGCTACTCTGGAAAAATGAGATTCAGTGCCACGACTATATGGATGACATTGTCATAATAGCACCCTCTGCGATGTAATTTAAAGATGCTAACACTTAACAAAATAACTCAACCAAAACCTCAATCCTCCTTTTGGCCAGGAGCAACGTCCTCTCAGACATTAGCAACCTACGATTGACTTACGCTAAGATTATTAACTAGGACTGATCCTAGAGACCAAACTACTATCGAAAAAGTACGTATACTCAAACATATCCAGAGCAACAAAAGCATTAATATGCAGTGTACAATTTTCTAACAGTTGTATCCTAGGAATGAGCCTGAGAATCCTAATATGGAAACATATCATGAAGGAACTACCCAAGCCGCGTTAAAATGGCATGTGTTTAAATTACGGGGGGATATGCGCACCTGCCCGGCGGAGATTACTCTAGAGCTGGAGCTTTTACCCTAAATTGTATATCTGGCGGTAGAACGAAATCTACTTAACTTTTCTAAATGAGGTTTTGGCAGGGGGAAGGTCATATCAACCAGAATCTCCCGGCTTCAGCTGGCCCTTTCCAGACATCAGCTTCCGCTTGGAATTGTGTTCACTTTGGAAAGGCATCTCCCGATAAGTACCCTGCACTGGTACACAGTAGTGTCTACGGGCCCAAAAATAGACTATCGATGCCAATGGAAATGTGCATATTTCAAAAAGAAGTCAACGCCATGCATCCATGTGCGGAGATAAATCTGAGCAGGTACTTCGACAATGAGAGAAATGCCATCCTCAGTAATAGCAAAGCGGCACCAATGCGCTTTCATCTTTCAAAATACTCATCATCGTCACTATTCTTTTAGCGCCTAGAGAAACTCAACTCTCTTCAAAAATCCAATAGCATAATTCTATAATACATAGATTCCAAGTCAAAAGCGAATATATAGAATTGAGATGGCGGAAGCTATGGCTACAACCTCAATTAGGACGGACTAAATCATATAACGATCTTAGAGCTTAAGCTTTAACAACGTCTCGACAAAATATCTTTATGGTAATACGGAGTATGGATATATTGAGAAGAGATTTATTTTGGATAAAGCCCACACTGATGGAATTAGGCTATCTATTTTTTTTCCTCTTAAAATATTTATTACTTATTATTGGCTGATAGGAAAACGCTTACGATATCCTTTGATGGCTATTGTCATTCCCAGGAACTGTGAGACAGCTGTTAAGTGACTGAATTTTAAGACATACATACATATGTAGGAAATATAAAATTTGTGACGGATTTTCAAGTGATTTTAGCACATCAGCAAAGTTGAGTATACAGCAGCTTATGAGTTTCGCTGACTATCCTAACCATGTAATTTAAGGCATTAGTCTACAAAGTCACTCGCTCAAACTATTCAAATTTTGAAACAGTTAAGCTACCGTCGTGTAGCTGTTAAAATTTATGCAGTCCAATGGTTTTACTCTAACACACTTGCAAGTGTACGAGCACTAAAATTCAAACTCACTTATAAATATTTAGGCATAGATACATTAACGACAACTGCAATCAGTGCTAAACTGCCAATGGCATGCCGAGAGTAGCCACATAAATTTAGATGGTTTGCACAGACTAATTAAAAGCGCCTGCAAGCGACATGAGTCAAGGTGTATATGGCGTAGTGTCTGGACACTTTATTGAACAACAACAACAGCAAAATAATAAATGGAGTAGGTAGCTTTGACACCTACGAGATAGGAGCGTGTTGATATTTTAGTACATACTTACAAACGCAATACTTCTACTATGAACCAGACCAGGTTTGCAAAGCACACTGAAATGTGTGAACATAAATTTTGAGAGAGGACTTGCTATTACGTAGTTGTCGTTAAGTGAAGTAGGTCAATGCTGGTCAAGATAATTGCAAGTCTCTTCTTAGACAACTAAAAGATATTAGGCAAAATAGTTCCAGATGAGCTAGAGACTTTAAACTTCAATGTTAACTGAGAACCCAATGACAATGCAATACGAAAGATGAATTAATCCGCTATGTGGCACAGGTGTCAAGATTTGAAAACCCCGTATTTATGGTCCGAGTTGTTTCATATTTAAAACTTAAAGGGAAAGAAATACCTCCACAAAAAATTTACCGTTAGGTGGTACGGGGGTCGTTTTTACAACGCTTTTATCAACTTGCAATGTTGTGTTCCAGAAACTTTCAATGTTGTGTTCCAGAAGCTTTCAATGTTGTGTGTCCGACACGATAAAGCAAAGCTTTGAAAAGCTCCTATAAAAAAGCATAGTGAATAGGGCGAGGTAGATGACATCTAGATGTCGCCCTATGTACTACGTTTGCTACACCGAAAATAGACGACACGCCATTCTTTAAATAAAATTAATTGGTGCTCGTTTGTATGTACATACATATGTAAATGCATGTGTGTGCACCTTTCTATTAATATCGTTGAATTATTTTAATATCTATTGCAAACTTTTATTCAGACAGGACTAAAAAGTAGAAAATAAATAATATAAAAAAACTTTTTAATATACAACGCTTTTATAAATGGACTAAAAAGTAGAAAATAATACTTCTCAGTCCCATAGAATTTGTTTTGATAACTTTTGATTTTGAAATTTTAGCAAAAGTCATTATAAACAATCTATGAAATTGAAAATGAAAAGCGTGGGGCGCATGTAATACACTTGAATTGATATGAAAAGTAATATATGAATGTATGTATGTGGGTATATGAATAACGACCGCTTAAAATCGATTTCAAAGCTTTACTTTCGCTGTAGAAATTTTAGGTCTACGTTATGTAGTTTGACTATTGTCAATTAAATCGAATGCTTTGTATTGCATGCGCTCCACGTTTTTCATTTTCAATTTCATAGATTGTTTATAATGACTTTTGCTAAAATTTCAAAATCAAAAGTTATAAAAACAAATTCTATGGGACTGAGAAGTATTATTTTCTACTTTTTAGTCCATTTATAAAAGCGTTGTATATTAAAAAGTTTTTTTTATATTATTTATTTTTCATTTTCACTTTTGGTTTGTTTTTGCAACGAGCGCAAATGTTTGCAAATGCGGCGGTAGCGCCAACAACTGCGTCGTCGAGCAGCGATATAGGCAGCGAGAAGTTAAAAATACGATCAACTGCAATGGACATGGAGGCGGCTGCAAAGGAAATGAGCGCCGAGAAGACGGAGATAATGAATGATGATGGGGCCAAAGGTACGAAAACTGAAAGCCAGACAGACACTGCGACTATGGTGATGACTGAAATGAAAATGAGCTACAAGGAGAATGACTGGTGGCAGCATATGGTACTCTATCAGATCTATCCACGTTCGTTTATGGATACCAATGGCGATGGTGTAGGCGATTTGCAAGGTGAGTAGAGGGGGAGGGGGAATGCATTTTTCTCTGTGTGAGATTGCGTGATTTTAATTTTCTTTTCCTTGCAGGTATAATTATGAAACTACCGTATCTCGCTGAGACAGGCATTCATGCTGTTTGGTTGAGTCCGATTTTCAAGTCGCCTATGGTGGATTTTGGCTACGACATAACTGATTTCAAAGATATTCACACGGAATACGGTACAATGCTAGACGTCGATAAGCTGATAACGGAATCGAACCGCTTAGGTAACCGTTAAACCATGATCCCGTTAGATTTGGCGCGGGTTTATGTGCTGATTTGTTGTAAATATATATTTGCAGGAATTAAAATAATCATGGATTTTGTGCCCAATCACACGTCAAATCAAAGTGAATGGTTTGAGAAGTCGATTAACCGCGAAGATGGCTTCGAGGA